TGCGCGACAACTACCCGCCCGGCTTCAGCTACGCCGACTTCGGGCCGCAGTTCACGGCGCGCTTCTTCCGCCCGGAAGAGTGGGCCGACCTCTTCCAGGCCGCGGGGGCCAAGTGAGTGTGGTCGCGGGGCGGGCGCGGGAGCTGGAGGAGGTGAGGGGCTGGCGGCTGCCCGAGGCCGCACGGCCGCCTGTCTGGCCTGAGGATGCCCCGGGGGCCTGTGTCTTGCTCTGGAGGATGCAGGATTGAACGTGGCACTCCTGGTCCTGAGCAGAAGGTGCGTGTGGCGGGGGAGTGGCAAGGACGGCTTCGGGGGGGGGCTGGGCTGGGAAGCCTGTGGTGTCTACACCCGTGGGTGGAGCGGGCGGCGCCACGTGGTGGTTCCTTCCTGATGGGCGAGAAGGTCAGGAGTCCGGGGTTTCGAGTCATTAGTATGGCGCCTGGTCCTAGTTCAACTCCGCTCGGTCGAGTCGCCGTAGCCTCCTTTCTGTGGTTATAGAAAGGGACTGTTTTCGTCCCTTCGGCCCCAAGGTCTCTGAGATGGAAAAGGAGGTGGGGGGTCGGTATGCGGTGCTGGCGGGCAATGGTCCAGATTCTCCTTCGTCCGCTCTTCTCAATGCCTTGAACACAGAAAGTGCCCAAGGGACCTTTGAGTCGTTCTGAGAGCCATGGAGCTTGCCGGTGGCTGGCTCAGAGAAAGGCTGGAGAGCTCTGGGGTGGGGGTGAGGGCAGGCGAGGACCCCTGAGGTTACCCAAGGCAGGGACCTGTCCTGAAGGAGTAAGCCTTAAGGGCGGATGTTCCCAGGTGCTGAGGCAGGGAATGCTTACTTGCAGCTCCTAGAGGGATTCCTTCGGCTGCAGGGCGAGAAGTGGGTTGGTGATGAGTCAAGAGTGGAGGCAGGGAGGTTTCCCTGGCTTAGAGCAGTGCCCCATCCTTGACTTGGTTTCTCAGTCATCTTCCAGGTTTTCGTTTTTCTTAGACTTTAGGTTATTTTACTAAAGAGAAATTACAACGGACACTTAGTGTCTTCCTTTAAATGTATGGGAATATGAATCTTGAACAAACAGAGAAAGTATTGTCTGTCTTCCAAGGGCCTTAGGGTTCATAATTTATAAACGAAGAATTAAAAACTGGGAGACAAGCCGGGCTCGGTGGCTCAGCCTGTAATCCCGCACCTTTGGGAGACTGAGGTGAGTGGATTGCCTGAGCCCGCGGGTTCGAGACCCACCTGGGCAGGCGAGACCTCAACTCTACAATAAATTTTTAAAAATTAGCCAGGCGTGGTAGCGCGCGCCTGTAATTCCAGCTACTCGGAAGGCTGAGGCGGAAGCTCGCGGAGCCCAGCAGGTCGAGGCTGCGGTGGCCGGGAGCGGCCACTGCACTCCAGTCTGGGCGACAGAGTGAGACTCCAACTCAGAAAAAAAATACACACACACAAAAAAACAAAGAAAAACAAAACTGGGAGACAGCCTTTTTCTATACCCCTTATTTCATGGATGAGGTGACCGGCCCAGAGCAAGAAACGGACCCAATGTCCTAGATTACAAATTTTATGACTCCAAGGGGAAGTTTCCACTGCACTGGAGGTCTGTAAAGTGACCCGAGAGATTGCCTGTTTTTTGTAAGGCCCAAGAGTTGAGAATGGTTTTTACATTTTTAAAGGATTATACATTTCTGAAGAAAGAAGAATATGCCACAGAGAGGAATGTGGCCCACAAAGTATTAAATACTATCTGGCCCTTAAAGGCCAGGAGTTCCTCACACCAGCCGGTGATTAAATCATCACATGTGGGCATGATCTGCTTTTCTACCAGTTAATATAAATTAAATCAAATGTTATTTTAAATCAAAAGTTGAGTAATTTGGTTGTTATTTCTACATTTGTCTTTTTCCCCAGTTCTTTGGGTCTTCTGTTACCTCTGTAAATGAGAGGTACATCATCATATAAGCTTGGTGAAATAAACAGTTTACTTTCTAACATCTGCTATTCCCGGTAGGGATCTTGCTTTCTCCAGGGCAAGATTTTTTAAAAGTTAATCATCTATACCAGAGGGTTGGAGATTCAGAGCACTACGGTACACTTCTTTTCCCTTACATACTCTTTCCTTCTGGGCCTCCTCCTTGACTGGGGACTGAGAACTGTGACTTCCTCAAATCTGCTTTTGTTCTTAGAGCAACTCCCAAGGGGAGTTGTGCCTGCAGCTGCTTCCTGGATATCACCAATAGAGTAATTTCCTGCAGTCAAGTTCTCCCATCCATTTAAAACCTCAGGCAAGTTTGTGTCCACTGCCTACTTCCTTTGCTCATGTAGTTTTGATGTCCACAGGTATGTTGTCCTGACGACAAAGCATCATGAAGGCTTCACAAACTGGCCAAGTGTTGTGTCTTGGAATTGGAACTCAAAGGATGTCGGGCCCCACCGGGATTTGGTTGGTGAACTGGGAACCGCTGTCCGAAAGAGGTTTGTGTCTATGGACAATTACTCTTATCTCTTGATCTAGCCATCCAGAGTTGTATACTTTCTCTGCCTTTGTGTGTTTTCTTTTTTTGTTTGTTTTTTGTTTTTGAGTTGGATGCTCCCTCTGTCGCTCAGGTTGTAATGCAGTGGCATGCTTATGGCCACCGCAGCCTTGACCTGCTGGACTTGGACCATCTTTCGGCCTCAGCCTTCCAAGTAGCTGGAACTTGTTGGGAGCTGGCCAAGGAGGCCCACTGAGCGTTAGGGATCAGGAAGGGCCATTGACTCCGAGACCACTAGGATGCATTCGGGAGCTATTGACCCCATTTCCTCCCCTTTTCTACTCAGCACTAACCAGATTAAGCTCCTGTGAGCTCAAAACATAAAAACTCTGAGACCGGGACGAACACAAGCTAACTTTAGAAGCTCATTGCTCCCATTCTTCCACAAACTGCAGTTTTGGCTTTCACACAATTTATAATTCAAACTCGTGTCACATCTAAGAGCCTTAGTATTGGTCACAGGCTTCTGGGTCATGATCTTAGGATTTATTGAAGGTGTAAATTGTAGAATATAGTTTTAGAAGACAGCCATTTTGTTGAAAGAATGTGGCTGGGTTACTTGCAAGTAGCCCATTGTGAACTTTGGACTGGGCCACATTCCAAACATTCTGGGATGGGCCACTTTCATTGTAAATACTTAAGCTTCTATAGAATTGTTTAACTTGGCATAAATCAATCAGTTTAGGATGAAAAAGGGTTTATATAATATGTCAGTCACAGATTAGCTTATCCTTTGTTATGGGATTTTAAGATTATCATATGAAAAGGGTTTAAAGGCATCATTGATTAGTTTTCATGGATTA